ATTACTGAAGAACGAAATAGACAAGAAGGCAAGACAAACAACGGTGGACAATTTTTTTAAGCCAGGCCCATCCTTACCAGCGAAAAATGATGATGACAGTGATCTGCAGGTTACCATTTCTTCGTCGTCTTCAGATTAAAGCCATTTTTTAAAAAAATTATGTATGTAAACATACACATGTTTTATGTAACATGAAGTTGTTTCATTCTTGTTTATAGATTATTGTTGGTTTTTGGAGTCTGTTATTATTTTATGTACAAATGTATGTACTTCTTATGTATGTATTTTTGATTTAAATGAAATAAAAAGATAAAATGCATTTTGAATGATAAACCATGTTACATATTTAACAAATATGGAACCGATCCCATTGAATTAGTATGAATTTGTATTAGAATAATTGATTCCTTATACGGCTTTTCGCTTTGCGGCCAAATTTTGTGGAACGTATCTAGGCCGTAAAGCGAGGTATGGGTGTATTTATTATATTTGCTTTTTATTTATAGGATATGTTTTCTAGAATCTATAAAAAAAAGTTATGAAACTAACTAAATTTATTTTACAATTTGCAAGTAAGTTTAATCTAGACCATTTACTGTATTTTTTGATTTAGCAATTATAACATTATAAACATATTTTTAAACAGTATTCTTTGTATATCTAAGTGGCTCTATGATGCACTTTAACTTAAATTTTGGATTTAAAGAAAAAACAATTATATTTTAAGTGACATTGCATTAAGAGAATTAACTTAAATTGATAATTTATAAAAACAACCAGTCTTTTAATTGTTTACTCCTTTAAAGCTATTTTTAAATTTACTCAATTTTTTATATGTATTATATAACATGAGCTATACAAAAGTCAATTCTTTTGAATGAATTCAATTAAAATACATTCAATTTCAAAAAGTAGTTTGAAGTAAATGAATATTTTAAAGTTTAGATAAGAAATAAAAAAATTAATTTATAAAGACTAAGATAAATTTAAATGATAAATGATTTATGTGAAAAAAGAATAACTATTATTAAAATCTTTGGATAGTTTTCATATTTAAATTTTTGTTTTATATATAAAACTATGTATTTGTAAGTTTCAAAGAAACAAACACTTTTCTTGAAAATATTTAAATACACTATATTTAAATTAATCAAAAATAACCTATTTGACTCTACATATTTTGTATATAATAAGTTGCTAAAAGATATTAAAAATATTCATGATAAACTGTTCCAAACAATAAATTAAATATAAAATTTGATTGAAGTCACAAGCTGTATGTTGTTATCATCTAATTAAACTTTCATTACCATCAAAATTCTTTGTAACTAATATTTTCAGCTTTTTAAAAAGGCTATCTTCAAGTTTATACATTAATCTATACAAATATATTTAAAAATAGAAAAAGATTATATTAGAATGTTTATATTTTGAATTATTTTTGTACAGATTTGCATTATTAATATTAAACTGGCCAGATATACAGTCAAGCTGCTTAAGAGATCACCCTTGGGATTGCTGCATCATGCTCCCTTATCTGAGGTAACAAGATCACCCAATGGTTTCTTAATAGTATTCATTTCTCTCCATTTTTTCATGTCATATGACTTCAACTGTAACTTAGAACACACTTGCAAACATTAAAATTCATTATTACATAAATTTACTATACAGGTAACCCCTGTATAACACGGGAGTTATGTTCCAAAATATTGCAGTGTTATGCAAATCCATGTTATATGAAACAAAGAACTAGTAAAAAAGGGGGGATTAGGTTCCAAAAATTAAAAAAACATGTTATTATATTTTCATAATTAAGATAAATATCTTTATTTCTTAAATTTTCTTAAGCAATACATATTAATATAAATTAAATAATGTTTTCTTTGTCATCACTAAGCACTATTAATAGAGGGTATTTTCTTTTTGGCAAGGTATCCTTATCCTCTGAGCATTTTTCTGCATTATCTTCAGATCCATGCTCTACCTTTTGCAAAAAATATGTTACTTTAGATTGCTTGCTTTTAGTTAAAAGATCTTTATAAATTTCCTTATGTGGTGCTAAGCACTTATGAAGAATAAAGCAAGTATGGAATAAGGGAAAGACATCTGGCAACACCAAAATCAGAAGCGTCGGGATCTGGCAACATTGAAACAAGTTTCGAGAAGGATTACATTTATCGACAAAAGGCAGTAAAAGAAAACTTACATACTTAAGTACTAACAGTTCTTTTTTTTTTTTTTTTAATTCTTTCCGCCCTGTGGGCACTAAGAGGACCTCTTTTTGCAAGCCCATTATGGGTTCAGCCAAGCCCACAATGGGGCTGCCGGGTGGTGAGGGATGGGGATTACTAATAGTTCATGAAAATAATTTTCGTGAACTATTAGTATTTAAGTATGTGAAAATTTATTACATTTCACTTTGTACGAGAGTTTTATCAAATTCTCAAACCATGTTAGAGTGAATCCATGCTATAAAAGCACAGTGTTATATGGGAGTTACCTGTACTTACATACTGGTTTTCATTCTTATATCATCAATAGCAAATACAGAAGAAACCAAAGAGGGGACTAACTCAAAAATTAATAATTAAATAATTAGTCAGGATCTTTCACTAACATGTGCATGACAATTATATTGCAGATAGTTCATTGACTATATTTGCCACCATATATGTTCTTAAATAGAAACTTTAGACTCTCAATTGTGCAAATATGTTTTTAAAATATAATGTATTTAGCCCAAACAGATAATAAAGTCATCTCTTAACATGTTGATGTCCAACTATGAGTTAACTCATAGGTTACTTACTGCTTCTTTAAAGACCCATACAAGTTAACAAAAACATCATGTACAGTGCTAGTAAGTAGTAAGTATTCCCAATGAAATATTTCACTTGAATTTTTACTTTTAAAATTCAGTAAAAATTTAATAAAAATGAAATAAGAATGAATTTGTATTAGAATAATTGATTCCTTATACGGCTTTTCGCTTTGAGGCCAAATTTCGTGAAACGTATCTAGGCCGTAAAGCGAGGTATGGGTGTATTTATTATATTTGCTTTTTATTTATAGGATATGTTTTCTAGAATCTATAAAAAAAAGTTATGAAACTAACTAAATTTATTTTACAATTTGCAAGTAAGTTTAATCTAGACCATTTACTGTATTTTTTGATTTAGCAATTATAACATTATAAACATATTTTTAAACAGTATTCTTTGTATATCTAAGTGGCTCTATGATGCACTTTAACTTAAATTTTGGATTTAAAGAAAAAACAATTATATTTTAAGTGACATTGCATTAAGAGAATTAACTTAAATTGATAATTTATAAAAACAACCAGTCTTTTAATTGTNGTCCAACTATGAGTTAACTCATAGGTTACTTACTGCTTCTTTAAAGACCCATACAAGTTAACAAAAACATCATGTACAGTGCTAGTAAGTAGTAACTATTCCCAATGAAATATTTCACTTGAATTTTTACTTTTAAAATTCAGTAAAAATTTAATAAAAATGAAATAAGAAAGCTTATATAAGAAGACAGACTTTATAAATATTTAATGTGAGAAATTATAAATTCTTTATTTAAAAAAGTTAATTATAAAATTTGAATACATTAAGAAAATTCCTTTTTCATTAATGTTCCATTCCTTTTATGTAAAATTAATTTTAATTTTACATAAAAATTCATATTCTTATATGAAGATTTATACTTACTATCTGTGAATTGTCATTTGGAACTGATATACCCCAATTACATCTTGACTTCTCTCTAGATATTGATAAATCATTTAGACCTTCCACAATCCATGCTTTACACTTATCAGCAAATATTTTAGGATGAATCACTAGTTAAAACAAATTCAATTAATTGGAATTAATAATTTTATTTAATTTCAAATTAATTTACTACTATATTAAATAATAAAATGAAATATAATAGTTATTTCATAAAAATATCTTTAGATCACCAAAATTTAATAAAAATCATTTTGATAGTGATATATCATAATTAAAATAGCAACTTAGTGGATTTAAAAATACTGTAATAAAAAATTTTGAATATTTTTAAATATTTGAAAAATTTTATATGTAAATATATCTGAATCTATGTATATATAAATACAGTAGAGCGTCGATTTTCCGAAAGTCAATCATCCGAAAGAATTCCAGTCAGCAAATTTAAATTTTCCACAGTGCTGTAGCGCTTCGATCTTTGGCTATGTCTTGGACTACTCAAATATTTTACGTTTTTGATACTAAATTAACATCTGAAGTATAATTTTTTATTATTTTTCAATATATTTATTTTGTTTGTACAAAATAAAAAAATAATTTTTAACGATACAATAGTCTTTCTTAGGCTTAACATCGACGAAAATTCAACGTGAAGCGACACGCAACAGAGAAAAATTTTGACATTGGATACGTTAAACTAATTTCTCGTATGTAATCGGTTATCCGAAATATCAGTTATACGAACAACCCCAGTCCCCAATTGATTTGGAAAATCGACGCTCTACTGTATATTAATTTAACTTCACACACAATGTAACCCCTATTTACAAGAATTCAATACAATGAGCTGTTTTCTTTTATCTCTCCCATGGATTACATGGGAAATTACATGATACAATGAGCACTGACTAATATATATAAGAACAAAATATTCTAATTATGTTTGTTTTCTTAAGCTACAGCAATGCAACACTTGGATGATCTGCCTAGGGAATGCCCTCTGGGAGGTCTTTTTAAGGGTAACTAGCCTCTATTCAGGCATTACAGAAAACCCAGAAAACTCCACGTGGTCAGCCCATCCTGGCGAGGCGTAAACCCACAACCAAACTCCCAGCGTTCAAGGAACGGAACTGCTTGGCCACTGATGTGCCTTCTAATTATGAGCCTAATGAGATTAAAATTTCTGCATGCTTCAATTAGATGGCTCATAGATACCTGTTTTCACATTTTGTTTTTTTTCCATTTATTTTGTGTCTTCATCTTCATTTGCAGAATATTAGATGCCATCAATGATCTCCAATAAATAAATACTTGTATCAGCTAACTCACTTTCTCAAACAATCATCTCATCTTTTATATCAGTGATTATAATTTTATAAATTAAAAAGTATTAATTATTAAAATGAAATTAATTTAAAAAGTAATTTCATTTTACTCTATTTTACTTGTTTTCTGCTTACTTATTGTTTTAATTAACTTTTAATTTATTATTATTAAATGAAAAATGTCTGATTACTTACAATATTTGCTTATCTTATATATCCATCACTTATTTCATATTAGGTCCCTTTATGTTGCTGAATACCTAAATCAACATTTTGGTTTTATCTCATTTGAATCATTAGCTGATACAAAAATATGCTTTATAACACTTTAATGTTATTGGAGACGCTATTACTGAAAAAGCTAAAATAATGATATTAATCAATTGTCTTGGAATGAAGCATTATCAGCTACTGACCAACCTAATGGCACCAGAAGTACCCTCTAGGTCAGTGTTTCAGGTTCATGTGGGCGTTTTTCCATGTTGAGGGGCGATTAGTAACAATTTATAATTTTGGCGGCGATAAACAATTTTCTGGGCGATATAGTAAAACATTGTATTAAGAATAATTAGATATTTTATTCATTATAGCGTACAATAATTAAACAAATAACATTATACTAGTCACTAGTCTATTCAATGCAGTACGAATTTGGCGTTAGCCTTGGCCACCAGCATCAAAATTTTGAAGTGAAGGGGGCGATACTACGTAACGGTTTTATCGAAGGGGCGACGATTCGTTAGAGGTTGACAAACACTGCTCTAAGTAAACCTTTGCTGAATTAATGAAGTTTCTACAAAATCAAACACCAAAATAAAATATCCTAATAGAACAGCATAAATTTTTGTCCAGAGTACAACATAATGGTGAGTCCATTTCAAATTACCTGACTTCGTTAAAACAACTCTTGAAAAGTGCAGATTTCAAGTCTAGTTGTAACAATGCACACTGTATAAAATCCGTCATAGATCTGACATTAAGAGTACAATTCATACATGGTTTACAAGATGCCGATATTCGTGAGGAAATTCTACAACAAACTGACCTAGCCATTGAACAGACTAGAAATTGCATTAACCATAGAAGCTTCCAAAATTGAAAACAAGTATATAAAAGTAATCATCTTGTTCACAAAATTACCAAAAATACTCAAATTAAACTATGCTCACATCCTCAAACACAACCATCAAATTGGAACAGAAGCAGAATAGAAGGTCACAGTGGGAACCCACCTAATCTTAAAGAACTTCATTTAGAAGGACTATGCTTACATTGCAGGAAAAACAACCGTAAATCAGTAAACTGTAGAGTCAAAGACTGGCTGAAATGTGAATGACATCATAAAAAGGCCATATGGGAAAGGTATGTGTATCATCCTTAAGGAAACAAATGTCAACAATTAACAGGAATCATAATGTCCACAATATTAATTAATCGTGAATGACTAATTGACTTTGATATAAACAGCATTATAAATGTATTTGTTAATGTAACAGGAACTGATGAGTGACTCCTCATAGAAATTTATGTTAACAGTACAAAAGTCCATTTTGAATGTGACACTGGCAGTCGCATCACCATCACCAGTATCGACGAATTCAATCGTTTACAACTGAATGCGCCCATAGTAAAAATGGAAGTGACCTTTCGAAGTTATACAGGAGACATTTTCAAACTTCCAGGAGTAGCAAAAGTAAAAACTAAATATGGTGGTTAACTACAGTGTAGAGAACTTGTATGTTGTTCCCTTCCAAAAAAATGCAATAATAGGAAGAGATTGGATTCGAAGTTTAAAGATCGACATCAATGAACTCAGCCATACAATTAAGGTCAACAACATTTAATCAACAGAAGTAGAAACATCCATTTCAAAAATCATAGAGTGATACTCAGATGTATTCACTTCCACAGTTGGCCAAATACTGTTATAACTGTTCATTAAAACTGAGAGATGGTGCCAAACCAATGTTCTTAAAACCATGCCCAGTTCCCTATGCATTGAAGGAAGAAGTGGATAAGGAATTAGATAAATTAGAAAGTGAGGGTATCATCGAAAAAGTGGATTATTCAGAGTGGGAAACATCCATAGTCATTATCCTGAAACCTGATGGGACAGTATGAATTTGTGCCGATTATAAGGTCACAGTCAACAAGCAGTTGCACAATTCACGCACCCAATTCTACGCATCAAAGATATTTTCAATAAATTACAGAATGGATCTTATTTTTGTACATTAGATATCCACAAAGCTTATCTTCATCTATCAGTCGATGATGACGGTGCAAAAATACAATCTTAACACACTGGGGAACCTATCTAGCAAAATGATTAGTTTTTGGAATTAAATCTGTTAAACCAAATTAAAACAAACGAGTTCCATAAGTTTATCGGCCAATTTACCCAAAATCCTGAAGGAATAGTCACTTATTTTGATGACATCATAATTCAAGGAAAAACTTATAAAGAATGCCTGAACCATTTACTGAATGTCTTGGACAGTTGAGAGCTAATGACATACATGTAAACATCAGTAAGTGCAAATTCTTTGAAAGAAAAGTACAATATTCAAGACATATAATTAGTGCAGAAGGTCTCCAAAAGACTCCAGACAAAATAAAAGCCATCCAGTATGCACCATGCCTGAGAAATGTGGAAGAATTATGCCAATTTTTAGGACTTGTTAATTACTATTCCAGTTTCATAAAGAATGCATCAGAAATTTTATATCCATTGAATCAATGCTTAAAGAAAAATGCTTAATTCTGTTCAACTCCAAACTACCAATAACATTAACAACTGATGCCAGCCCATTTGGACTCTCTGGAATATTGTCACACCAGATGCTTAAATGGAACAGAACAGCCTATAACATTTGCCTCCAGATCCCTCACATTTGCCAAACAAAACTATAGCCAGCTGGATAAAGAGGCTACTGCTGTGTACTGGGTATGTAAGAAATTTTTTGATTATATCTATAGAAGAAATTACTCTTATAGTCAACAATAAACCCACAATGACAATATTACATCCTAACAAGAAGCTACCTGTTTTGACAACTACAAGAATGCTAAGATACATGCACTTCCTTTCCAACTTCAATTATACCATCAAACATAGGAAGTCAATTGAACATACAAATGCCAATTACCTGTCATGGAATATACCATTAACAAGGAAAAAAGCCCTGACAGAAGACAATGATGATAAATATCATGACACTGTTGTTAAACATATCTCAACTGGAACTATCACTGCCAAGGACATTCGAAGAGAATCATCAATTGATAAGGAACTATCATAGATCAAAAACAACATTGTCAATGGCCATATGTATGACCCAGAAATATCCACACACAACGGCATACTCTTTAGAGGACACCAAGCAATCATCACAAGGAGTTTACAGCTAGCAGTCCTGCAAGAACTATACTCTACCCATATAGGAATCATTCAAATGAAGGTCCAAGCCCAAAATTACTGTTACTGGCATATTATTGACTCTGATATCGAGAATATGGCTAAAAATTGAAGAGAGTGCTGTGACATTAAGTAAAACCCAACAAAAAACTGGCAACATATACACATCAATTATGCAGGACCATTCATGAATCATTATTTCTTTATTGTTGTTGATGTCAAATCAAAGTGGCCAGAAATATTGTATACAAAGAAAGCATCAGACACATCCATCACGATTCATTTCCTACATGAAGTCTGGTCAATTTGGTCTACCTGAGATTTTAGTAAGTGATAATGCAAGTATTTTTTAAGTACAAGAATTTCAAGAGTTTTGTTCAAGAAATGGAATCCATCAAAGCTTAATAGCACCAGGACACCCAGCCACAAATGGCCAGGCTGAAAGATACTGTCACACCTTAATTAAAAACATGCTCAAATGTATGAAGTATGAAAGTGGTACTCTATATCAGAAGCTCCATGAACTACTATTCCGATATTGAGCGACCCCCTTATCTAATGGGAAAAGTCCAGCAGAAAGCTTATTAGGGCATACAATAAGAATAAAATTAGATCTGCTCAAACCTCAGGCACAAGCTTCCCAAAGATACATAAAATTTGTAGAATTTCGGTTGTTCAGTTGTCGTGTGTGAGATCATGTACAATCCCAAAATTACACAATGTCCAGTCCTTGGAAATATGGTATCATAGCTGAACAGCTAGGTCATGTACATTACTTAATTGAACTCGACAATGGATACTTAATAAAAAAGCATTATGATCAACTACACCTGTGTGAAATTAACAAACACAAATCCTATTCAGATAGGATTCAACTTCAACAAAAAGAAAATTGAACCATAGTAAACAATAGAGAATCATCCCCAGCTAGTGCTAGTACACACCCAAGCACAATTAGCTATTTGTGAATGGTTGTCTCTTTAATCCGACAAATTCTTTCGGTAGACTATCTTACAGCATCATACTAAGTACCAATTATGTTTCACACACAGTAACATTTACAACATTTAGTGTTATGCTTCACAAAAATTATTATTGGTTTATTGTCACGCCCTCTATGATGTCGTACCATTGTTGTTCTATTTGCATGCCATTAGAAATATTTACTAAATTATTGTTTTTATGTTTTACTATTTCAATATGTTCTTTAAATTTTCTCTTATATATATTTTTTTCTGTGTATAAGATTTTAATATTATTTCTATCGATTTTACATTTACTATTTTTAATATGGTTATACCAGGGAGAGTTGTTATATTTCAATCTAATGGCTGCTTCGTGTTTTTTAATTCGTGTTTCTAATGTACGTCCTGTTTCACCTATATAGTTTTTCGGGTTTTGGCAATTACAATTAATCTTATAGACTACCCCTATTTTTTCAATATATTATTATNTTTGTTTCTTATTCCGTATTTTTTGAAACAATTTCACTAAGTACCAATTATGTATTGTAAAAAATTCACAAATGTTAATTTACACAAGGTAATTCACACACAGTAACATTTACAATATTTAGTGTTATGCTTCACAAAAATTATTATTGGTTTATTGTCACGCCCTCTATGATGTCGTACCATTGTTGTTCTATTTGCATGTCATTAGAAATATTTACTAAATTATTGTTTTTATGTTTTACTATTTCAATATGTTCTTTAAATTTTCTCTTATATATATTTTTTTCTGTGTGTAAGATTTTAATATTATTTCTATCAATTGTACATTTACTATTTTTAATATGGTTGTACCAGGGAGAGTTGTTATATTTCAATCTAATGGCTGCTTCGTGTTCTTTAATTCGTGTTTCTAATGTACGTCCCGTTTCACCTATATAGTTTTTCGGGTTTTGGCAATTACAATTAATCTTATAGACCACCCCTGTTTTTTTTCAATATATTATTATTAGACTTGTTTGTTTTTGATCTATTAATGTGAACACCCTGTGAAATTTTATTGGTCAAAGCTGTAAGATAGTCTACCGAAAGAATTTGTCGAATTAAAGAGACAACCATTCACAAACGAATATACAGCTTTAACCAGTAAATTCAACAATTAGCTATGACGAAAGAATTGTAATGACTTTACTCAACAAAAAGGAGACAATGACGAAAACAGCTTCTGAACAGCCCCCAGAGAATGAGGAGGGCGAATCTAGCTGAACGATGACAAACTCAAATGAATCAGAGCCTTGACAATAAATGTGAATATGAAGATCAGTACAATGCCTAAATCTTTAAACAAACAAATTTTAAACAACATTTTATTAAGCATGGGAGAATTGTTATTTATGTAAACCTCCAGGGGATAACACACACTAAATTGCCCCTTGACTTAGTTAGGCAACCCTGCACCCCTGACCTTTGTCATGTTCCTTTGTGTTCGGTCAGTTGTGTGTTAGCTGTGGTGACACTTAGACCTGGAGGCACAAAGTTACGTTTGTATTATAATAAAGTTAATTATATACATTAATAAGAGTCATTTATTTTATGGACATAACAGAAACATGAATAGGTGACTGGATAATGGCCAGTTTCCCTAAAATCTAAATAGGAACAACACTTTCTTGTATTATATTGTGTCCCCACAAGACAAGTTAAAAAAAAATACCACCAAGCACCAGATGGACATTAATACATGTATTGAGTGTACATAGTTGGCAAGATATGTTAGATAATAACTTTATACCATACTGGATGATGTAAAATTGCTTAAGAGTGTACGTGGGGAGTTCGATATTAAAGGTACAGGCCAAAATTACACTAACATTTATAAAGAAACTATTTAATATATTCCACAAAAACTGCATACTTTTGTTTATTTCTCGACATAATCGCCTTAAACGTTGAGGCATTTATTCCAGCATGACACTAGTTTGAACATCCCTTCACAGTACTGTTGCTTGTCAAGTTGCTTGAAGTAGTCCAGAACAGTGTCTTTCAATTCCTCCTGATCTGCAAAGCATTTCCCTGCCAAAAATTTCTTTAAAGGTCCAAATAAATGAAAATCTGACAGAGAGCTAAATTTGGACTATACGGAGGATATTGCAAGACCTCCCAATTCCACTGTGCCAACCACAGTTTGGTTTGATTTGCCGTGTGGAGTATAGTCCAGATTTAGCTCCCTTGGATTATTCATATCTTTACAGAAACTTTTGGCAGGGAAACTCTTTGCAGATCAGGAGGAATTGCAAGACACTGTTCTGGACTACTTCAAGCAACTTGACAAGCAACAATACTGTGAAGGGATGTTCAAACTAGTGTCATACTGGAATAAATGCCTCATCATTTAAGGTGATTATGTCGAGAAATAAACAAAAGTATGCAGTTTTTGTGAAATATATTAAATATTTTCTTTATTTATAAATGTTAGTATAATTTTACCATGTACCTTTAATATCAGACTCACCTTGTAATTGAACCCAAATAGCTTTTTGTGTGGGAAACATTGTTTATTAGGAAGTTATACCCCATTACTAACTTTGCTGTATATTCTCCAGAATTTTGGTTATATTTGCATAATTTAATACATTAAACTTAGTTATAAAAGAAAGCCCCCATTCCCACCCAATTCATTCTCTCTATTTCATGTAATTTCATATATTTAAATATTTTAAAATTATGATGTTTGACTTCCAAACAAACATACGTTTAAATTAAGAATCATTCTATGGCTTTTTCCTGATGAAGGCCTTTCAAACAGACGAAAATGTTTGATAATTTGAATCAAAGGCTGCATTATAAAGGTTTTTTATGTGTTGATTAAGTGCAGTTAAAGAAGAAGGTAGATATGATGTTTGATGCATTAAAATAATATTTAAATATATGATGTTTAATACAGCAAACAATTATATTTCAAATTACATTCTGTTCTTTTAGTATTCAGCTCCTGAAAACAACATTATACAATGTTGCAAACATTTAAGCTTAAAGAAAAATAATTTTGTGAACTATTTTATGTTATTGTTTAATTTTTAACACCATATACTGGGTTATCTACATATTATATCTTATAATTAAAAAATCTTTAAATTTTATTATATGAATTTGAAAAATCTTTATACAAATATGTTGTAATAAAAAAGTATTTTAAGATTGATTAATGTAGTTTAAATATGATGAATTTTGCTTGAATGAAATCTAATTAATAGCATTGCCAAATAAAAGGACTTGAAACTTGTCTGTAATCAAGTGAATTATTCTTAATGATTATATCCATTCAACGAGAAAAGAAAATGTCAAATTTTATTTTTCAAATCATAAATGAATGTTTCACATTTTAAGAAATAACAAAGTGATCTAATGAGCTATTTTCTTTCAGAATTATTTGGTATTGGTGACAATTTGGTATTTTACAGATACAGAATTATGTTATTTCAATAAATATTTGCTATATAATCATCTTACCATCTCCTTTCAACCAATACAAAAGTTCATCCGTAAATTTAGACAGAGTAAACATATAATTTCTCTCTTTCATCCATTCTACTGGTTGACGAGTTTCTGATGAAACCTTAAAATTAACAGAAATAATAGTAATTAATTTAATGTATTAGAAGTTTTTCTACACATTCACATTTACATTTAATTCATTATCAAAATTTTATCATTAAAATTATATTAGTGTTTTGATCAGATTTCGACTGTATTAATATTCACTTTTAGCATTCAGAATTAGATAAAGAAAACAAACAAACTCATTGGTTAGAGATTTGTTTACAACCAAGTTGCTATTTACATAAATTTTAATTTTTTTATAAATTTTTCTAAATTTGATTATAGTAAATTATTGTAAACTGTTCTAAATTGCCTAATCATTACAGTTATCAATAATTAGCAAAACACTTGTGGTACCAATTTATTTTAATAACCAAATAATGTAATAGCCAATTAATAGATACATATGTGTGTATTTATTTATGTATAATTTTATAATTAGATTACACTAATTTTTACATCTAAATCTAAGCCTGAATACCATAGATTTCTTATTAAATGTGTAGAATAGTTAAGAAAATAAGTAAAATAATTCCATTACTTTTTATTAACCTTTTTAATCACACCTGTTTCATTTATTTCAATAACTTGTGATGATGGTAGAAATGCTTCTTCAGCCGTGCAATACCATCCTTCATAACAGCCCTCATAAATATGGTCTCTCTTAGCTAATTCATTCTGTTAATAATGGAAAATATATTAATGCAAATATGTCTTCATTTCTTCATTTAATGCATACATTAACATACCCAGAAATGAATTACTGTTTCCTTATGCCTATTTTCTGTAGTTCGAATAAAATGGGTGTTTGATAGAGAGAGGTTTTTACAGACGTCCTAAATATAAATTTTTCAATTATTATAATTAAATTTCATATTTTTGAATTAATATATATTATCAATTAAATTAAGATGAATCCTTAATTACTCTGTATTTTTCAGAAATTTTGTCACAGTAATGATGTACATCTTGCTTATGTAGCATTGCACTTTGTTCAACCTGAGGAAGTCTACTTTTATTTAAAATATAAGAGCATTAAAAAAAAAAAAAAAACATTCTTACTTTAAGACCATGTTCATCAGTACCAGTAGAAAATATAGTATTTTGAATTCCCAGTAATCTATGAATAGAATGAAGAGCATCAGCAAGAACCAGGGAATGCAAATGTCCAAGATGAGGAGCTTTCAAAAAGATAATAAACTAAGAATAACAAAGAAATATAATTTTCTTTTATTTTAATTCACATTCTAGCATATAAATAAACAGCAGATTATACTATGCACTATTTTCTTACAGCTAAACTATATGCTAGCTTGACAAATATCATTAATTCTTACTACTATATTAAATATTATAGTTTAAACAAGCTGTTTTGTTCATAATAGTTAATCAATACAATCTATTGCATCAGATCATGTTACTTAATGATAATGAATAATACTACTTGAAAATGAAATATTGAATTTTATTATTATACTAGTTTAATAATACTAATGACACATTTAAATACTATTTTATATTTGATCAATAAAAATTAAAATGTAATTGAAAAAGATTTAATATATGGATGGTTCAAAAAGTAAGTTTATTTAAAGTATAAAATTTCATACCTGCATTAACGTAAAATATTGGAGTAGTAATAAAATATTTTGAGTTTAGCTGACAAGTTGAATATGAAAAACATTTTGTAAATTGAAGATAACTTGTGAAATAAAACTTGAAATGTTTTGAAATTGACATTTTAAATATTGAAGATCTTGGACTAGAGAGAAAAATTAAAAAAATAAATGTAAATGTATGTAATATCAATTAATCTATGAAACTATGTTACAATATATAAAATATAGAAAAGCTATGGAAGGAAAAAAAGTAGTTACTGTATGTAACAACTGACACTCCAAGCCATAGGATATATAATAATGTAAAGAAACTTAATTTTTAATTAAACAATTTGTCACTAAAGCAAACCACTCTTAATATAATAGTGGATTCTAATTATATTATATTTTTGGGCTGCAATTTGAAAAAACTGTAGACCTATAAATTCCCACTGTTGTCCATCTGTCTTTCCTTAATCTCAAAAATGAAGTTAGATTGACAAAAAACAAGACCAGATGTGGGAACCTAAGGGGCAGGAAGCCCCAATTAACTATATACAAACTTCTGATGCAAACCAAAAATCACATTATTTCAATTCAAAATTTTTCCTTGAAAGGTGTTAGATGGCACAACTTTATTGTTAAAGGATAAGTATGATGTACGGGGGCAAGTCACTACTAATTTGAGATGGAGAACATATATTTTAAATTAAATAAATTAAAAATATAATTAAAAATTGCAGCCCAGCATCGTGACAATGTCACATTAAATAATTGCTCATCAATTTTACATTTATATACTATAGTTACTAATGGGAGGAAAAATGATGAATGTGATTGCAATATCAATAATATTGTGTCAATAGCCAATCCTATTTTTAACTTTCCACTAAATATATCTGTATATTTGTTTAGCTACACTGCTTAAATTTACTTTTGCAAATGATCACTTAGTATTCCTGCATCAAAGTGTCAGCTGCAAATGCATTAAGTTTGATAGTTCAAAACACCATAATTTATAATTTCTGTTAATTTATGTGCAATCTACTATTCACATTACAGAGTTAAGTACAAAAACTTTGTGAATGGTGTTTTGAGTAAATTTATTATGTACTATATTTATGTGTAATGTCATTTGTTTCATGTTTTTGATTAATTCAGATGTATATTATTATATGAACTATTTATCATAAGTCATGAAATACTAAAGCAGATTATAGAAGAATACTATATAAAAATCCTTCTGGAATTATCTGATAAAAAAACATAATATATTGTCATTAATGTAATACTGACACAGAAGTGATAAACAATGATAACTGGACATATACAATGGGAATAGGAGTCAGATGATGATGAGAATCTTCATCAACATCTGAATATTATATATTTAGCAGAGGAGGAGAAATCAATTAAAAGAAAACAAGTAATATTATTTCCAACAAAACAAAAGGCAAAAATGTAGTGGTAATTTTGCCTGGACCAAAACATTGAATCAAGTTTCTGCTTTACCTATGAAATAATTGATGATAGAAAAATAAACGAAAAACTTGTACAGTACATACCAAGTAAAAGCGAACAATTTCTTTATCTCAGAAATAAATAATACACATTTTCGCTAAGTATGACGTCGAAAGTGAGAGTAATTAAAACATCATATTCGAAAGTAAAATGAAAACAAATGATAATTGCTACGAATTTAAGTTCATCTAACATTAATTTGTGCTGTAATTATATTCATTGATATTTGTATTGGCAAATAGTAATAGATACTTACAAAAAAGAGTAACACCGTACTAAAATAATCTTTAATTAATCTTATATTTTTTTATATTAAGTATGTACAGTACACAAAATAGCATATGCACATGGTCTTGTTATAAAACTACGCATAGTGGAGTGTACCAAATATCATGTAACGTAACCATTTATTTAACAGTAAATCGATTACTCAAGTTATAAAGAATATTCTCAATACGAAACCTAAATTAATGCCTTACTGAAACTTTTAACATCGATTCAGCAATTCCATAACACAAGTTATTTATTCCTCGGGGGAAAAAATACACGTGTAAGATTCTTTTAACATAAAGGCGTCCATGTTGTAGGAACGGACATTTAATTCAAAAAACAAAACAAATTATTTACGAAAATTTTTAGAGTTTTTAGTACTAATAAAATATTTTAAAAATTTTAAATTTAGTTATTAAATAAAGAACGAAAATATATTTTATTTTATTTTCAATTATCACAATTCGCAAACAATTGCTAAAAACACGAGGATATCAATTATCACATTGCATAGACTCTCTCCAGACAGAAGTTTTCTGATTATTTGTAGATAACGACACGTTTGTTAAATTTTTCAAAAACTGGTAAAATATTTTATATTATATTTCAATTAAAACTTAATATATTTTGTGTAACTGTAAATATTTTCATCAGATTTCTTTTAGATGTGTGTAGTTAATTAACGATTTGATTTTAATCTGACAGAATTGAAATTATGGGAAAGATCTTTAAGAAAATTTCCATATTCATTTATATATTGGCAAATACTTTGAAATAATTTTTAACTAAATTTTAAAAGTTTACCATAGAGGTAGTAAAGAGCAAAGTGAATAATGTATACCTAAATTTTGAGAGATAGTTACAACAAAGGTCACATTTTCTAATAAAGCAGCTTTAATACAGCTGGATGAGCAAGCCAATGACATTGTTTCAACTTGAACAAGCTACATCATTGGTTGCATTCATCAGACTCAACAGTTCCAGAGCTTTTGAGTACTTTTCTGCAGAATGCCCTTTACAGTAGTTCTGTTTTGGAACTTGTTTGGTATTTTTTATGTCATGTTTAATAGTGTCCTTCATTTATTCTACCTATCACTACCTGAAACTGACCAATGATCACTGCTTTTTGTTCCAACGCATACATTACCATACTCATCATTTGTCAGCAGGGCCGGATTAACCCACTTTCGGGCCCTAGACATTTTTTTCTTACCGGGCCCCTTCCTTCTCACACAAGAAATAGAGCACACAAAAAATATAAAACAATAAATAAAACAAAACTAAATAATGTGAAAAATTAAAACAAGTCTTAAATTTCTGTTAATAAAAAATATTTAATATACTTTTTCTAGAAAAGTTTGAACAGTTTATAACTTTTAAAACATTGAAATTTATTTTATTAAATGTTTAACAGAAGTTGTTATACAATAACAATATTACTTTAAAATATCAATTGTTTAATTTAATCTTTTTTTATTATTAATATTTAAATAATATAATATTTTACCCGTGAAAGATAAATTAAATAATGAAAAAGATAATTTAAATAAAAGCCAAGATAGTTTTTAAAAAGTAAGTATATAAATATGAATAAACTTTATTTAAAAATTCTGTTTTCTAGTCTTTAATTCAGCAAAATTATCAATTATTTCATCATAATTAATATTATCCAAAACATTTTGTTCGATGTATAAAAAGCTAAAGAATTTAATTTTGATTCACTCAGTGAGTTTCGTAAATAATTTTTTACACGTTTTAATACTGAGAATGAATGACCTTTCACCAGATGCATTTGATATAGGCAGAGTTAAATATATTCGCAATATTATTTCTATATTTGAAAATGTTGATACTAGTTTTGTGCTCTATAAATTGCAGCATATCAGATGGCAACGTTAATTTTTGGCTTTTGTAAATTAATTTAAATTGCAACAATTCCTCGTCCAATTCGTCTGTATCAATATCGCCACTGTACCACTTTTTTAGCAATGCAGTGTTAATTGATATGTCCTCGTCGTTGCCGTCCGTTATGTTTGTATGAAGAATTTTAAAAATTTCATCAATATCTTTCAAAATAAACAATTTAACCGGGTCTTTCTAAAAACCGGGCCCTAGACATTTGTCTCATTTGTCTATGCAATGATCCGGCCCTGTTTGTCAGATGTAACTATGTAACAGCTACTGATTGAAACACCTTTGTCCAGTTACAACTGTTGGCTCTGCTGAATGCAGCCATTGGTATACTCATCCAGTTGTATTAAAGTTGCCTTAATAGATAATGTGCCCAGTTTTCCAAAGGATTTTGATAAAAACTTTGGTGTTTATAAACACCCTGCATATGTTAGTTATCTGTATGTTCTTCTCCATTTTTCAAACAAATTAAATTTTTTCCTTCGTGATAAAAAAATCTTTATTAAATTTCTTTCTGTAACCTGATGAAGGCTTGTCAGTCAGGCTGAAAAAGTTTGTTTTGATTACACACTTTTTCAGCAATCAAATTTAAAGTGTTTTTAGTGTCTTCATATATTTGCAGATCTTGTGCCATCTGCACAAGGCTATAGGATAAAAATGTCTTGAGCTATGGACTGCAAAACATTGGATATTGCTGCACAGTAATGCTCAGTACATCGGTCTGACCTTGTCTAGCAGGAGCTAGCCAAACATTGCACAGATATATTTTATCCTGCAATATTTTACTTATCTCAAAGGGGTGCTTCATGATAAGTGATTTAGCAGTTTATTGAATAGGTTTACTGTTGAATAACATATCAAAAGCTTTGAATGACTCAGTTGAAGTTATTGTAACCAAATTTTTAAAATATATCTCACATTATTTATTCAATAATATCCAATTATTTTTTATGTATAATTTAAATAATCTTGCTTAAAAATTAGGTAAAAAGAGATAAGTAAATTAAATAACAAATACTCTGTTTTGCAATAAAATCCCATTCTTAAGTTTACTTTGAAATACATTAATACCTCGACTTATACTATCCCGACTTATGCGAACTCAGAGTTACGCGATTTTCAAATCTCGTCAATTTGTCTTTTGTTTGAGTGCCATGCTACTCTTGATTACTCACTCCCACCACACTATTGTTCAGCTTACATGTCACATGGAATCGACATATAGCTACAATTTATTCTGTGTTTGTTATATCTATGGAGACTTGAGAGACTCTACTATGTCATCCAAATGAAGTAGAACTGATTCTTCTGTATCAAACAAGAAAAGAAAAACTTTATCTTTGAAATGTAAAGTTAACATTATTAAAGACTTCGATACAAAAATGAAAATTTGTGAATTGTCAAAGAAGTTTGATCTACCGGAATCGACGGTCAGAACAATTATAAAAGGTAAAGAAAAAATTCTCAAAGCTGCGAAAAATGCTCAGTCTTTAAATTCAAGCATCATCGTAAATGTCATGGTATTATTGCTGAGATGGAAACAATGTTAAAATTATGGTGTGATAATCAAGTAAATGTGAAAAATTGTATAATAATATAATTTGTTATACACATGTATTATCTAAGATTTTATTAAACATTTTTTTCTAAATTACTGTTTTCTTTAGTCTCTGGCTCCAATTAAAAATTATATGTATATATTTATTTGCGAAATTATATCCCAACTTACGTGAATTTGACTTACATGGTTATTGTTCGGTCCTACCTATCGCGTAAATTCGGGGTATTACTGTATGTACTATATAACATAACAATTAAATGCTTTGAAATTTGTATTTAATACATTTTTGTGGGAAATAGGTTTTCATGTGTTTAAAACTATCTTAAAACAGTATTAATGATATGAAAATATTTACAGATTAGAAGAAACAAATGTCTTTATATCTTGTCCTTCTTCAACATCTAAGGAACACAATAGTCTTTACAGACAGTCAACTTTTTATTTGAGGCTACTTGTCTGCCTCAATATACAAAAACCATTAAAAAAATTTCTAAGTTGTGGCACAATCACAATAAAAATATATTAATTAACTAGCAGACCCCACCACGCGTTGTTGTGGCTCAAAATGTATCTATTATATATATACAAAATGTATAACACTTCCCCCGTGGGGGGAAATTTTTCGAAAAATTTCTTCTTAATGTACTTTCTCTTGACGTACCTTATTAAAACGCAAAAACCCGCATCTAAAATAATATAATAGAAGCCAAGTTCTTCATGGTAAGCCTTAATTCTGTCCCTCTCCCCCGCAGGAGAATATCAAAAAAAATCCCTTCTTAGTGTACATTCTGTTGACGTACCCTATTAAAAAGCAATCAAAAATGCAATAAACCGCATCTAAAATAGTATAAATAGAAGCAGAGTTCTTTATGGTAAGCCTTAATCCTAACCATCTCCCTTTAGTGGGGGGAATTTCGACACGTATATTATATAAAAACACGTGCGTATTCGAATGCAGCGTTGTGTCAAAATTTTAAAGGAATCGGTAGTAACAAACAAACATTACATTTTTATTTATATAGATAGATAGAAGATGATCTGCTTTAGTTCATTTTCACATAAAAACGATGCCTCACAGAAAACCAAACTTAGGACGTCGCACTCATAGCGCCATTTGTTGGACATAAAAGTCTTAACCTAGATTATATATTTTAATTTATATGAATGTTTAACAGAATAATATACAGCCTATATCCACCCTGAGGTGCCATTCTAAATATTGGTGAAAGAATTTTTGAAATCAGATGAGTAGTTTCAGAGATTACCTGCTGCAAACAAACTTACATACATACAAACATTACCTCTTTATAATATTAGTATAGATAAACAAAATGACCAGGACAATAATAATTATTAAAATATTCACTAATTATTTTTTTAGAACATTTTTGCATATCAAGGCAGATGAATAGCCTCAAATAAAAAGTAAACTTGTGTTCCTGAGGTGTTGAAAGATAAGATGTAAAGATATTTGTTTCTTCTAATTTGTGAATATTTTTATATTTATCATTGACCTGACCATTTTGTTTATTAAGTATTAATGACGATACAAAACAGATATATTTCCTGAATAAGAAAATATAAATTCAAGTAAATTGCAAACAATAATAAAACTGAATAATCATTGAACATTAAACTTAATAATGATAATGTGGTATTTGTAAATATTATTGATATGCATATTTGTGTGTATGATCTGTATACAGTCAAATTTGATTAATTTGAATTACTGGATAAATATTTGTTATAATATATTTAATATAGTCACTTCATGATAAATTGTCATCACAGAATGTACATGATATTATCATTGTCAGTTACTATAATTGATATTATTTTTTGAGAATATTTAATAGATTTAAATGTTTTCAAAATATGTATATTTAAAATAATAAAAGTTTAAAATTGGCATCAGCTCTCACTAAGGAATCTTATTGAAACAATTTTCATTCTTTACAATTGATTTATAAGAAATTATTTGGATTTGGTTGTTTAAAAATATTATTCTGTGTACTGTTGTAAATTAAATAATTTACATCCAATAATAATGAAAAAGTATTTAAAAAAAGTTATATTTTTCTTTTTGTGTAATTGGAAAAATTTAATTAATATGTTTATCATTTATAAAAAAATTTGTAAACTTATTTTAAAAAATAGTTATTTATATTCTAAATTATATTTTATACTTTTAATCTTAACAGGAAAATGTTGCCAGAAATAAGTAGAATATCAAGTTTTCGGTGTTTTGGAGGTTATCAAAGAATTTACTCTCATTTTAGTGAAATATTAAAATGTAAAATGAATTTTTCTATATATATTCCTCCACAAGCAGAAGATAACAAGGTTCCTGTCTTATATTGGTTATCAGGTTAGAAAAGGTTTTGTTTGAGATTGTTTTATGGATAAAATATATAACTTGTATATAATAGAGATGATAGAAATTACATTTATGTGAAAGGTCTAATAAGAATATATTTTTTTTTATGAATTTTTAAATATACAGTTGTCCCTCGATAATCCAACAGGTATGGGACCAAAGGTGTGTCAGATTACCAAAAGTGTCCGGATTACCGAAAATAATTACATATTTCACATTGTTTTTCTAGCAGTAACTTACAATGTTCTCTACTCCAACTGTTTGAACAGAACTGCTCACATAAAACACACGAAATGTGTGTCATCGAGTAAGAATTGGATGGGGAGATTCATGTTGCGACATGCTTCTGTGCAAGCAGACACATAACGGGGACGGGTATCTTGACGGGAGGTGCGTCGGACTACTGAGCATGTTGGATTAAAAAACGTCGGACTATCGAGGGACAACTGTATAGTATAAAAAATTTAATATGAATTCTGATTATAATACTTATACCAATTAAACTTTGTAATTCCAGTAACCACTTTTTATCAGAGGGACAAACAAAAATTTTACTTAAAACTTGACAGATGAATCTTCCAAATCCCTTTGAATCTTTTGAATCGCTTTGAAAATCACAAAATATTTAACTTACTGTTACTTTTTGAAATGCATATGTAATCTGAAAGTTAAATCTTCTCTGTTCTAAATTTAACTTTCAGATTACATATGCATTTCAAAAAGTAACAGTAAATTAAATATTTTGCGATAAATAATTCAATTAGAGATACAAGTGCTATGTCATTTTTCTACATAATCATCTCCATTTCAATACACTTCTCAGAACATTCCGCCAGCTTCTTTATTCTGTCAAAAAAGAAAAAATGTTTTTGGTTGTGCATTCAGCCAGGAATCATTGCTTCTTTCATTTTGTTATCATTTCCAAATCTTCATCCTCTCAAAGCATCTTTTAGAAGTCCAAACATACAATAATCAGAGGGAACAAGATCAGAGCAGTATGGGGAATGATGTAAGACCTCACCAAAGAAATAGAAATCTGAACATGTTTCATCTTGTGCTCATAAGTCAACATTCTATGCATCTACTATGCATACAACTTGTGATACTTGAGAACCTTCATGACAATAGTATGTGCAGATTCAATACTGACATCCAATTCCCTAGCCAGACCTTCTAAAGAAATGCTCCTGTTTTCACAAATAATGACATCAGTGCAACTCACTGTCTCATCATGACAGCCATGCTGGGATGACTGAAACATTGCTCATCATGGATTGATAATTGCTTGTTTTTAAACACATTTACCCATTCATACATTTTTCTCTCACCAATGCAGGCATCTCCATACTTTTGTAGTATTCTTTTATATTTCATGAAGTTTCACATTCTCCAACCACAAAAATCTGATGATTGCTCACTGCTCCTCTATAGTGCAAACAGCTAAAGGCACTGTCATTATCTTTAATGCCTGTCTCTATTTGAATAAATTTCAGTGCATCATCTTAATCTGTCCTAGTGATGTTGGACACTACAAATAATAATTTTGTTTCACATACATTTATATTAAAACCGTTATTAATTTATTTCAAAATTTAAAATAAAATTAGAATAAGTTTCCTTTCTTTTCTAATCTGAATAGATATTGGACACAGATTCTGAACTCGTGACTGAGTATGAATTTATAAAAAGACAAGCAGCTTTTTTTTAAAAATATTAATGATTTTAAATGCTGATCAGTTAATTATCCACTAAACAATGCTATAAGATTGTACACATTTGTTACAAAAATTAAAAACATTTTTGTTATCTATTTAAGGAATTTTATAATACAAAAATTACTTTTACTTTGACATTGCTTTTCTTCTCCTTTGTTCTATGTTTATGGAGCTAAATTTTTATCAGATTATGTTAAATTTAATTAGAGATCTCAATATTCACACATATGGATTATCAAAAACTTTCATGTTATAAATTATCTTACCACATTTATATAACTTAACTTAAAAAATTAATTCATAAGTTTTATTAAAATAAAAGATCTTCAAATAAATCTAATGTTTAAATCTACTTAAGTTAAAAAATTTAAATTATTGAACTTTTATTAATCTTAGATAAAAGCAGTTTATATGAATTGTAATAATAATAATAATAATATTCGTTTTACATTAATCTTATGTTTGCATTCTCTATTATTAAATATTTTATTTATTATATGTGAAATATTTTACTCACTTAAAAACGTTTATTTGAATATCTAAAGATATATTGTTATTGCTTTTCATTTTCTTTATTTTATTTTTTATAATTATATTCTTCAGTTTATTCTAAACAACTGATTTCATATTATACTATGTATCATAAAATGTAATATCAAATGATTTAATAATTACTACATTATCTTAGATTGAATATGTTTTTTAATAGGCTTAACATGCACAGAACAAAATTTTATACAGAAAGCTGGAGCACAGCGTTATGCTGCAGAACATGGAGTGATTATTGTTGGACCAGATACAAGCCCTCGTAAGTGTATTTTTCAAATACTAGTTTCAAATATGACTGTAAATTCTGAAAATTCATAATTATATACATAGTTAGAAATAATGGAAAGTTTGTTATGATGATTTAATGAGTTTAAAAATAATATTACAATTGATATGCACTTTTACAACTTTGGAAAATCATTATTTAGTGAGTTGTAATAAATTAAACTCTGATTTAAGATGGATTAAATAATGGAAAAATAGTTGTTAGAAATTAATTTCAGCAGAAAACCAATAAATTGTATCATATGGTGAGTTTCGAATATAATACTGTCAGAAAGGAAAAATAAACAAAATAAATCATCTTAAAATAATTCCTAATTAGACAGCCAAATTATTTAGTTAAAATTGTTTAAAGCATTCTAAAATTAAAACAAAACAAATTTCATAAAATAACTAGTTTGGACTTAATCTTAAAATATATATTTATCAATTTAAAATTATAACAAGAACAAAATCATAACATAAATTTGAACTATCTTTAGATGTTGTGGAATGAAATCTTCAAAATTTTTTCCAAACCTTACAGCCCAGATTCTGTACCATTTCTTTTTTTGTAAGAAAAGAAAACCATTGCAGCTTTTATTTTTCTATGTGTGTTCTTCTTATACTTGAATATAAATTTATTCCATCTTAATGATTTTAAATGTTGATCAGTTAATTATCCACTAAACAATGCTATAAGATTGTACACATTTGTTACAAAAATTAAAAACATTTTTGTTATCTATTTAAGGAACTTCATAATACAAAAATTACTTTTACTTTGACATTGCTTCTCTTCTCCTTTGTTCTATGTTTATGGAGCTAAATTTTTATCAGATTATGTTAAATTTAATTAGAGATCTTAATATTCACACTACAGATTATCAAAAAATACCGATTACCTCTGGGTTGCAGACAATCCTTAAAAAAAGAGTACACTCTCTTTTGCCCAATTTGCATATCAGCTGTCAAACAAAGTTTATTTAAGCAAATTATTTGAACTTTGCATTTGTCATCATGTATATGTTGTGGCTGGATTGTTATTTAATTTAGCTGCTATACAAAGCATCTAGTCATTTTGTAATAAAGCTAACTAACATTCAGCAGGATTGTCATTATATTGCATTTTACAATACAGCTTACCATAGCCAGCTGTGTTGTAAAGCTCTGGAAATCTAGCACCTTTACAAAAATGTGAATTATTCACTAAGGTTAGGGACAAAAATATTAGGAAGTAAAAAAAAAAAAAAAAACATATATTGTATAATCAAAATTATTTATTTATAAACTTGAAAATTATAAAAAGAGTACAGTATTTGAATTACTTCCTGATTTTAGAAAATAATATGATTATTTATAATAACTAATCAACTTAATTGTTCATTGGTAATTTAAAATCTTTAAAAACATGTAATCTTTAAACATATTGCTATTATTTAAATATTAATGTTTAGGTACATTAATATAATTAAGAATAACTTTTGTAAAATCACAACATAAATAAATAGAGGTAGTAAATAGTGCAAAATTAAATTATGAAAATGCATTATTATTGTATTATTTATTAATGCAAGATAAACTAGAATGATATTTAGATCCACAAAAAATTTTCTTTTTAAACAATGCACATCTGTTAGTGTGACACTGATTTTTTGCAGATTTGTATGAGCATCTTTGAAATCCTTGACCACAAAATAATGATTGGTTAGTTATGGCTTCTCACAGAGATATTGATCTTTTTGGTATTTCATCATTATAATCATTTGACGACTCTTGTAATTCATAATGACAGAACCAATTTTTAATTATTTTGGATTTAATCCCTCTCTTGTAAATTCTGTTTCTGAAATCAGCAATTTTCTCCATAGTATTTTTGGTATCTAAAGAATCACAATCTATTTTTGGTACATTAAGAAAAATACTTTTTCCAATATCTAATAAGGGAAGTTTCTTAGCAGTATTGTCAACCATCTTCTCTGCAGCCCATTTAACTCCTTTATGCACTTTTTCTCTTTTATTTTGTATATTATGTTCACTTTTGCATATAAAATAAAACAGCAATGAGTTGCTCAACGATCCTGGCAACATTTAAAATTTTGGTGGCGCCATCTGTTATCATATTTTATTTTAAAAATTTTATATTTTTAACTATTATAAATGGCTAAAATCTTAATTTTGAGGGTAGAGATGAGTTTCATAAAAAAATGTAAATGCTAATAATGAGTAAAATCATTAAGTCTGACCATACTGGAGTTACACACAACCCCATTATCTCTCCATCACCTTGATCTTTAATCACCAAAATTTAATAGCACCAGTTCCCTAATACACAAACCTCTCTACAAAATTTCAGAAATTTTCAACAAAAAGCACAGGAGTTATTATGCTTCAAACTCTTTGAACAAAATTGTGCACACACACAGACACACTAACATCCATACATGCAAAAATTTCTCAACATTTCAAGGTGTCCTAAGTTGAAAAATGTAACAATCTTGGGGGAGTCATTTTTTGACTATTTGTCATACTTTCCCTTTATAACAGCCAGGAAAGTAAAAATTACATCTAAACATGACACAAATAGAGATGGCTATTGCTGTTCTAGACCAAAACAATCAATGAAATAATTTATGCAACCAATTCAAATTTTTGTAACCCAAAAAGTAGGCATTGCACCAAATGATTTTTTTGCACCAAACTAAAACAAGAGTAGCCCATTTGGGCAGTCAAATCTGAGAATGTTCCTTAGTCCTCAAGTGGTAAGAATTGGAAGTAAATACAACACTCTGGCAGTTTACCTAATTATGCATTGTAAAGCAGCTAATCATTTGGCCAGCCATATTATAAAACATGAAATGTCATTCAGTCTGGCAAGATTTGGTTTAGCTTTGTAAAGTGGCTGCATGTTAGTTAGCTTTATTACAAAATAGCACCATTTAATCAAATGGCTAGATGCTTTGTAAAGCTGCTTAACCCTGCGTTAGTGCACTGAGTTTTTTTTCGGCATTAGTGCAGTGGGGCGTTTGCCAACCCCAACATTTTTTTGGGTCCATAAACTATGTAAGTAAAAATTTATAAAGATTTATTCATTTATTTGGTAAAGGCATGTGTCATTATACATATGATTATATTTAGGTATGATTACATATTATATTAGTACATAAATCCACGAAAATAAAAAAGAACATTTATCAAAACTCATTACATTAGATCTTATTATTAAACCAATAGTAAAAATCTAAATTGTTTTTTAAGCATTTTTGTCACTCTGATTCAATAGCTAACATTGTACTTTGGCACTCAGTGCAAATGACAAGCAACTTGCTATGTTTGGTATTTTCTCAATGTGTTTATGAAAGTCAGCCATTTTGAATTAAAATAAACTTAAATTATTTTTATTCACATTGATTATTATATCTATATTATAAATAATAAATGTGGTCACATTATAGTTATTTTTAAAATAAAAAAAACTAAATAAATATTTGTAAAATTTAAAAAAAACGTAATTAATACTGTGGGGTGTTTGGACACCCTACTGAAAACTGTTGTTTTTCTCTTACTGGAATTTCTGCAGCATCGTAGTAATTTCTGAGCATGCTCTATACGTAAAATCATGAAGCTACTGAAGAGGACACAAATATTTCTTGCGAAATCTATGAATAGTGCAACTTTTAAAACGTTGGGGGTGGCGAAACACCCCACTGCACTAGCCCAGGGTTAAG